CAAATAATTTAGTTTGCTAGCTTAGTTTTCTAAGTTATTTTCATTTTACATATGTGATTTTTTGGGACTGCCAGGAATGTCATTGGTATAACACGTTGCAGTCTTAGATGCAGTTTGCAGTATTTTACATCGTAATATCTTTTTGCGTCATGTGAGTCTAGCGCCCGGAGGAAGTAGCTGCAGTGTTTTGTTTACTGAAGCTAATTGATTTTCCCCCTGACTTACTGGCAGGAAACACGTTCTTGGCCGTAATATGACGTTCTAGGCATACATAGGTTATAAAATACATGATATAAATAAGAACTAACAGAATTACGCATTGTTACGTGGTTGTCGAACCGAAATGGAGTGATCGGGATTGACCAGATTTACTGGAACCTTTTATGCCGCTTATATTTTCACAGAGCTGTCACAATGCTCCTGTCATAACCTTTTTTCTCAGCTACCCCGGTTTTGATGGGCGTGCATTGCCTGGCTGCTTTGCGGCTTGGCGATGGTTATCACCAGATAGTGTTGTGTCCATCCACATTGCAAAACACTATATTGCACGACGATAATATTTTCAGCTAAAACAGAGCTTGGGATGTGGCTAAATTAACTGAACCACTTTGAAGTCGTTCCAAAATTCGTGGGGGGAATTTATGAACGCTGTCTTGATTAAATCTTCGGAGCGGAGAATCTCTGTTATTTGCGCACGCTATTTTTGTGTGCTGCGCTATTTTCTTGTCACAACAGTGCGGAGGAAAGAGCCGAAATATTTTCGAATATCACCGCTGAGAGCGAGGTAAAGAGTCATTTGTTACAACGATAGCAGGTTTAGTGATCCACGCGAACCCTTCTTCATATCGAGCGTGAAATGTGAATTTGAGCAGGTCGTTTTGAAGTGCTTACAAAATGGGACAAGGCGAATCTAAGGAATCGGAGCAGAACACACATCAAGGAGCGCAACATGTTAGACGAACCATTCATGGTTCTGACAGAAGTCGACGTTCGACCCCGCCCATAACTAATCCAAGGGCTCAACATCAGTCTGGAATACGAGCTCAACGCACGCCAGGAGCGTCTAGAAGCCAAGGTCAACAGCGTCCCACGACAACTCCCAGAACCTTTCCTAGAACGCGCCCTCTTCCCAACTTGCGAACACATCTGACGCCGTCCGCAACAGAAGGGCGGCAGCAGCGTCAAACAACCTCCACTGTGAGGTCGAGTCGCAGACTCCAGCAACAGTTCGCTGTTCGGCCAGCTCAGAGCCCAGGACTTCCCGGCCAAAGCTCAAACGTGCCAACACCGACTCGAAGTCTGCCGATTCCTATCAACCCGCCTAGGAGCAAGGCAAAGCCGGGACCGCCGGCACAGCTTTCAGGGCGTCCGCCCTCAAGAAGGACGGCACCTCTGTCTAAAGTTACCGCTCAGGCGACGGACAGCGACTCGGAGACGACTGAGCCGCCTGCGAAACGGGTGACGCGAAGCCGCGCCGCCCTTCAGACGGCAGAGGCCGACTCCGAGGCGGCCGGCGGCTCGGTGGCGCTGGACCAGCCGCTAGAGGGTCGGCCGGCGGCGGTGGCCGACCCGCCAGCCGAGGGCGGTGACGTCGAGCCGGACGACCTCGACAAGACGTCGGCCGAATCCGAGAGTGACGGCTCCAGCGACGACATCGACGTCGCCTCGTCCGCGGGCGAGGACGAGCTGGACGACGAGGAGGCGGACGAACTGCAGCTGGACGAGGAGGAGGCGGACCAGCCGGGCGGCACTTCGGTTGACTCTGACTCGGGCGCGTCGGCTTGTGAGCGCGAGTCGCGGCCGGCTAGCCGCGACAGCGGCGCATCGTTCCAGCTGCGCCGTACTCGCCGCCGCTCCATTCCCGTGCGTCGGCTGCAGGTCGACCCGCAGCGTCTCTCCTACATCAGCGTGTGATGCGCTGGCGGCAGGCGGATGGAGCGAAGCCGGAAGACGCACGATCCGGCACGGGAGGGACAACCGAGCCATGCCAAATTCCAGTCCGGGTCCTGCTCCGACTTCGCAGCTCGCTGGAGACTTTTGACGAGGGTAGCTGAGCGGTATGCCGGATGTCTACCTCGGCGAGGACGATGGGAAACGATCTGCACTTATCGAGCTCGAGTTGGCGAGCTCTCCCGATGATTACCTCATTGAAGGCAATGCGGATGCATTCTTTTTGCCACTAGTCATCGAAGGCTTCGCGGGTATGTGGCTTTACCACTAGCTTTGGCATCCTGAAAAGATCCGGAATGGTAGAGTTGTTGGGGTAGAGGTGTCCTAAATATTTATCGGGAAGAGGTTCGCATGGGATTTAAGAGGGGCCTGGGAGAACGTCAGGCGAAAGACGGATGTCAGGTGGGTGGGATCAAAAGTAGCTTAGGTGACTGTCCCAAAGGTAGCACTGGTTGGCTAACGGATGTGATACATAAGATGTTTTGGTGACACGTAGAGTACCTTGTGTGTAACGAAACGAGCGAAGCCAATACAGAGATGATTCACATGCTTTTTCGTTAGGAACAATTATCTCCAGTGACGAAATGCCTCTGAAAATATAGGAGAAGAGGCGACGATTGGCCATTCTGCCTCGCAGCTGCAAAAGGGCTGGTGCAACTCCCCGCTGGCATCCCCCTGTTCGAGGCTTCTCTCGAACCGTGCAGCGCGTCATAACACACTCAAAGCATAACAAAGCAAAATATTGCCCGTACGAAGTAACCCTTGGCACGCCCATCCTGCCCTCTGACATTACCTGACCTTTGGCACGGTCGCTGTCACTGGCCACAAGCCATCCCAGTCTGGAGCATATTGTATCTGAACATGTTGTAGCCCGAGCAGTGCTAAATTGAGTATTCCCATTCGCAAGGAATTTTAGATTAACGCATGGGTGACAAAAATGGATCTATGACATGCTCCCAGCATGTGGAAAAGCTCTATGCGGGCAATGATCCACGTGATCCCATGAGTGCTGAAAGGCCGGCATATATTGCATAGCATGCATTTGAGAGCACCGTCAAAAGGTGACCTGCTTCACTGGCTCTGCGACTCCGGGTCAATGCCTTTGGTCGTCACCTGCGTGGGGATCCGCTGGCCCGATGTCAATACGGTGGAGAGCGAAAAAAGAGCGAAAGGTGGCCAATAATGGGCAGATAACAGACCTATCATCAAAATGTTAATTGTTGGCCGGGTTCGGTTTTGGGACGTTGTGAGACGCTTCTTAGCCATAGGCTAAGGAAAGTCTCGAAAAATGGAGGTGCCAAAACTAATCTGGAAGCTGATGCTGTAATACGTCACCGACAAATTAATATGAATTCTCGGAAAGTGGGGTGGCATGCACATACAGGCCCGTCCTTTCCAACGCCTATTGCGGCACCAAACCGTATGTGATGGAATGGACCCGACTAAAATGCTTGCTTTGTTGTGAATATAGACATTGTTAGTATGGAGACCGAAGGTGGATGGTCGGACCGGGCAAGTTGTCCACGTGCCCCGAATGATGCCACTGTTCCTAGCTAGGACTTGTCAGGGGCATATATGTAAGGGAGCAAGCAATGCCAGAATAATAAAAAATCCACAGACCGCTGCACCTGATTCGTCTGATGCATCTTGCTTTTGACTACAGTGACTGACTGTAGTGTTTTTGGCTGTTTGACTGTACTGACCTCCCGGGATTTTCTTTGCCCCGTCGTTGTACAGCGCCTCCGCTGGTACGATATGGAGCATGTGTTTGCCAACAACACGATGCAACGCTACACATACAATTAACAACACTATGATTCTGTAGTGAATACAACTACAAGACACCTGGAGCACGCTTTCCTCTGGTCTAGATCTCCGTTCACGCACGGCTCAAATAATGTGGCGGATAACTGGTCTACCAGGAGCATAGAAATGCCAGTCCAAGTGGGAGGGCCGAATCCTATTTCCGACTTTTTCATGCATCACCGTGGAGTTAGTGTCAAACTTGAATGAAAAGTAGCGGTTTTTCTACCCACATGTCACTTGCGACTGTCATCGTACATTTGTGCGCGCTTCGGACTTTGCGACCGCCCCTCAGCTGCTGAGGCTAAATGCCCCACCCTGCCTGTCACCCTGGCACGAAGAAATGGCGCCGTGGAGAATCGAACCCATTGCCTCCGGTTTCCCTAGCGACGCAGGCCAATGTTGGCTATACACATATACACGTACTAGCCATTTGTGGATGGCAGTGCATATATACATGTCAATATATAAATGTATGCAGTCATAAACGACTTATGCATATTATACACTATACAGCATGCATGCTACCGTTAACTTTTCTTTTCGCCGGTAGTGCCCCGTGAAGAAATGCTGCGTAGGATCTGTGCAGTCCTATAGTAAATTCTCGCTGAGCTTTTTGGCTACTGCTACTGTTTGAGAAGGGTTATGAAATTTCATGAAATGTAAACATCAGTGAAAGAACCTTGCATCTTGCAGCACTGCCAGCTTTGTCTCGGCTGAGGGTGATATAATGTAGATATGGGGAAAGGGTTTGAAGGAACCGCTAAGCGGTGCATATCACTAGGTGAAGTGGCATCGTGCCGATTTCGAACATCAGCCGAGTTGAAAGGCATTGTTGATGGAAGCAATGGAGCCGAACAATAGGCTGTTATGTCATTCTACCGGCATGTATTAAAAGTGTAGCAGCTCATTTATTGCCTTGAATTTAGAGCATTTATCTATTAGTTGCGAGCATTATCCATACTCCAGCTCTTCAGACGCTGACTGCATTTGCTCGTTATCCTGTCAGATAAACGAGCATCCGTTCCAGTCCTAAGGTCATCCACCAGCTGCAAAGCAACTGGTATAGTAAATATCAAAATTCGAGGACATGACGCCGAGTACGACGTCTTTTCGCGACTCTTATTCCATCCTGTCCCGTTGGAGCATCGCTGTTGGGCCGGACAAACCGGGTGACGGAAGGTGACGGGCGTCGGCGACAAGGCTGCCCCTCCTCACAAGAATGCAGGCGTGGCGAGGCAGCACCAGATTTATGGGGGCCATTTGTAGTCCGACGCATCCGTGTGAGGAACGACCGCCAATCACCGTCTGCGCCAAGAAACATCGAGCGTCTTTGACACGTGTCTCAGCCACGGGCTCTCCGCCCAGATGTGACACAACTGGCACGAGAGTAGTGAAGAACCCGATAACTTGCCCCGTACTTTTCTGCAACTGTGTTACTGTGTATTTATCTTGGGACCATGTCTTTAGCAATAACACTACTAAATGCGAGTGCTTAGCTAGGCTTTCCGAGTCAGGTCTTGAAATGAAGTCGTTTGCTCGTGTTAAGAACAAATGCAGGTGGATCTTGTACTCTCACACATCGATACCACGATGTGCTGACTTCCGTTTTTATGTTTTTTAGACGACACTGCCCCCGAAACTGACGTGCACACATGCACATGTAAAAATATTACCCTGTCACTGCCTGCACGTGTGCATGCATGCACACGCTTGAAGTGCCACATGCGCAACATACATGCATTCATAAACAGGGCATGTATGCCGCGGATGTGGCAGTTTTCTGGCGTACATATACTCCCTCACACACGCTTGCACGAGCCCCCTGTTGTGGACCGCCGCGTGCGTTGTGCGCCGCGGAGCTGTCGTCTGACCGTGCTCGCCCTGCGGCCGCAGCAAGTACCGCCTGCTGCGGCCGGACATGGTGCAGCGGCAGGCGGCCGTCGGCGGCCAGCAGTGGAGCGGCTCCAGGAGCCTGAGCGCCCGCGTGCGGCAGTGGCAGGAGCGGCGCGCCAGCCGGCCCGGCGACGCCGTCGCCACCGGCCTCTGGGACATGGGCCGGCGGAAGGTGGGTCGACGGTTTTCGTCGCTCCCATGACCACGACAAACTTACATATGTGCAATGGTAGCACCTCCACGACACATGACCGTGGTTCGATTGTTGCATTCAAGGCGCTCGCATTCCTTTATGCGTTTTATCAGCTCCCAGATCTCTGAAAAGATATGAGGTTCTGCGGGGTCGGTAGAACTGGCTATTCATCTCACGCGCGTATTATGTCGCTGCTTATACCGCGGCCAGACTAGCGGGAAATAAGCCAAGCGTGGATTGTGTCCTATCGGTCGCATCCACTTCCTTTCCGAATGCCATTTAATCTCGGGTCGTTGTTTTCCACATGCTTCTGTTGTCGTCTCTTGCATCTCACCGTCCCTCCTGATTTTTCTCGAAGCCCTGACTTCGTTTTCCGTCGACCACCACTGGCTGTCGGGCACGCATCAGCATTCCCCCCCCCCCCCCCCCCCCCCCCCCTGTCTGCCCACCGCTCCACCCGCGGCCGACCGCTGTCCTCCGCCAGCAGAGGGCGCGTTGGGGCCAGGCGTCGCTGTCGGCGCTGCTGCCCGAAAGTGCGCCGGCGGCCGACGGCGCGCAGCACATGCAGCGCGAGCTGACGTCGCTCACCTCGCTGGAGGAGGCCGTCGCGCACGCGCCGCTCGGCTTCCGTGACGTGCACCACGTGACGGCGCTGCTGATGAGCCGGGAGCGGCGCGCGCTGCTGCTGCTCTCCGACGACCTGGAACGCAGCGTGGTCAAGGTGGGCTGCGCCGCTGGAGCCGGGCCGGGCCGGCTGAGTACGCGCGTCATCGGCGACGGGGGTGCCGAAGCGGCGCAAGCTGTCCGCGCATCTTTGTATCTGTGCTTCTAATGAGTGCTTGTCTCTGTGGCGAACGCGTGCTGTGGGCGTTAAGGCTGCTTGATTTAAAGGGTTAAAAACCATTTTCGAGTTAACTGTGTAGCTAGTTATAGTACATTCACCTGATCGGCATGCCATCTCTTTTTGCTAGCAGTTTCCATCTACGCTTTACTAAGTTGACATCTTATTGAAATGGAGTGAGCGGAAAGAGGGTGTAGACTATTGTGCTTAACAAATGTGCTCTTTTACGCTTGTCACAATATTCTGGTCTTTCAAGGAAACAAGCTCAAACAATTAAGTTGGTGAGCCCAGACAATTCAAGGCTTGCGGGCTGTAGTCCGCTTATCCTGGAGTCATGGTTTCGGCGTATGTGGCGATTTTACAAAACGCGCTACGCGTAAAATGAGAAATGCATTTTTTTGCACTTGAGCAATGTGCGACGAATATCTTCACCTCCCCCCTCCCCCCATGTCTCCCTTTCTATATGACAGCATCCCAGAAAAGCCTGCTTTCCGTACCGTGCTTACGACACCCTGTCACCGACTCGGGCTCTGTGGCTCTCCCTCAGGCCAACATGGATCTGTTCACGACCATGCGCACCATGTTCGTGGACCGGCCGCGCCAATACAGCAGTCAAGAGCGGCGCCACCTGCTGCGCCAGCTGCTGATGGCGCAGCAGGTGGGGCTGCCGCTGAGCGCGGCGCGCGGCCTACTGCGCCACCTGCTGGCGGCGGCGCGGCCCGGCCAGGCCGAGCACTGGCTTCCGGCGCTCGACCTGCTGCCCTTCTACGGCTGGCGGCGCTTCCGAGTGCTGCAGGACGAGCTGCTGAAGCCGCTGCGGGAGCTGGCGATGCTGTGCAACCGGCACCTGCGCCTGGCCGTGCTGCACGCGCTCACCGAGTACGTGCTGCGGCTGGCGCGCGACGACCTGCCGCGTGTGCGGCGGCGCGCGTTCCCCTACACCAGCAGCACGGCCCTGGCCGAGGTGAGGCGCCGCCGGCGAGCGGCGCTCTGGGCGCGGTGCGGGAGCCGGCGGCCGTGTAATGGCGATGAGGGCCAGGGGACTATGCTTATGTTTTTCGCTATCGTCCCACCTCGTCTGTGGCAATTTCCTCGTCTTACGCAGGAATGACATATTGTGTCAGATACTTACCCGTGCTGACTTTTCACCACGCGACCACTGTCGCTGTAATACGAGTATCCGTCGCAGTGCTGCGCCAAATGCACAAAACATTTTGTCTCGATGCTCAGGAGTAATCCTGCCGTTCTGCCGCCGGCAGGGCCTCGCCTTTTCCTAACCATGTCCCTGCCGCCCGGTACCTCGATCTGAGCAGGAGTCGTTGCGAGCACTCCCAGCTCGCCACTTGCTCCCACACTACACTCGTGACACTAGCCTTCACACCACACCCCACCGCATCGTACTACACTGCTTTTCACTTTACACCACATTGCGCTATACTTTACACTACACTACGCTATACACCAACACTACACTACATTCCACGCCGAGCAGCGCGCGCGCCTAACCGCAGCGCGCCGGCGGTTTCAGGTGGCCGAGTCGTCCGACCCGGCGGCGGACGTGGCGCGCGTGGCGGAGCATGTTGCGCTGCTGTGCCAGCAACTGACGGCCGACGCGGCGCCCACCAACCTGCTGCGCGCCACACTCGACTTCTACATAGAGGTCAGGCGAGATGGCGACGCGCGGACAAGCACGGCCGGAGCGCGGGCGGAGGGCGGTGTACTGTCGCTGCGGGGGTGGGCTGGGCGACGCGGGGTGTCCTTTCGACGCATCAGGGACGACGGGGACGTCGTCGTGAGGTGGAACTTGTCGGACCATACTTAGAACACCTGATGGTACTTCGAGTCTCGTGTTGCCATGGCTACCGATGTTTAAGCGAACCGTGTACGAGATGACAACAACGAGGCAGGCCACACTTAGCGACCGCTGGTTTAAATAAAATAGATTATGTTGATTTGACTTGATCAGTACCCAGTACATCTGGTGCGTTGGTACCCGCCGCTGAACTTTATGCAGATTATAGCGCCTTGACCCCGACGTTTGGAACAGCTGACGACGCGAGCGTGTTATATGCAGATTGCGCTGCACAAACCCCGACGCTGGGATCAGGGGACAACGCGAGCGTGTGTGGAGCCGGACCACCGATGAGGTTTCCCGCCCACCCGCCAGGTGTCACCGGTACTGCTGGAGAACGGCGTGCCCCTCGTGCCGTACATCCGCAGCGACGTGCTGTACCGGATCGTGCTGGGCTCGGACGTGCTGGCGCTGCACAAGCTGCTGCTCGTGTTCTCCCGGTAAGTGACGGGCCGCGCCGGGTGGCGCTGTCGACTCGGCTGTGCGCATCGGTGCTCGCCGTTGCGCCCCAGCGCTCCGGCCGGGCGCGGTGGGCTGCGTCCGGCGGGCCAGCGGCCAGCGTACGCCGGCCATTGTCGTCCCTTTAGACCGCGGGACGGCGCGCTCGTCGCCAGAGATCGTCCTGACAGAGGGAGGAGGTAATGTGTTGTGCGGCGGTCGTCATTGGCCAGCGGACGTCTGCCTTCGTGGCGTGCTGCGTCGTCTGGCACTGGGCTGGGTAGCGCATTGCTCCGTTTCGTCCTCTAGTCGACGTCAAGGCTCTAGACAGTGCTGCTGTGTTATCAGTGGGGCCCAACGCCGCGGCTGCCTCCACCGTCTCACCGTCAGGTGCCGGGGCCTGTCGCAGCCACCACAGCCATCCTCACCCTCCGCCGTGCCGCCGCCAGGTACGGCCGGCTGTCGCAGCAGCTGCGGCGCATCCGAGACACGCGGACGGTGACGCGCATGGCCGAGTTCTCGTCGCGCTCGCTGCGCGCGGCCACCGCCTCGGTCAACGACGTGGCGTGGCTGCTGTACGGCCGCAGCAAGGGCCGCCTCTGCCAGCACCAGCCGGCGGCGGTGCGTGCGGCCGTTCGCGGGCTGGCTGAGGACGCCTTCCTGCTCAACCACCCGGCCTGCCTCAGCTACCAGCTGCTGCATGGCCAGCGGGTGGACCGAGAGGTGAGGCGGGGTCCGCAGGGCGGGAGGGGGAGCCTAGATCAGGCGCCTCAGACTGATGCTCGGTAGCACAAACGGCGCCGAACGGGACATTCTGGGCGGGAAACTGCACCATGTGGGCAATGCGCTCATTTATTTTCTCTGCCACTATTTTTCCATTCATGTGATTATGTGAGTGTTCATTTCTGTGGTGGTATGTTGCAGCAGTTATGATGATTGGGATTCGTGTTCTTTGACCTGCAGCAGTACCCGAAATAAACTACTGACGAATGAAAAAGCCGAATATTGATGGTGCACAGCTTACAAGGAATCGTTCGACGATTTGCACTCGCACGAAGCCATCATTCTCATGTTACGGTTCCGTCAAGTCACCGTACTGAACGCAGCCCTATCTCGTTGCAGGACACGGGCAATGTGGATTCGTTCGTGGAGACGCTCACTGACAGCGGGCTGGTCGGCTTCGGTCTGTTCAGTGACGAGTACCACTAGGTGGCCGATATTGTGGCTGCGATCAGCGAAGATGGCGGAGATCTTGGATGGTGTCATGCATTAGTGTACAACCTGGTGAAAACCCGGCGGTGCTTTCAACAGCGCAAGCCCCCGTTCAAATGTGTGTTTCGTATTCTTCTTGACGCAGATTAACGCACTAGTTTTAGCCGTATTATCTTCACTCGCAGCGTGTCAGCAAGCCTGTTCGCCGTGCAAGGTGCTCCGCGGCACTGCTGGGTTTGGTATTGGTGTGCTCGCTCGGCGTACGTGGGAGAACATACCGGCTGTGTCCGGCCCCATCCCCCGACCGCCGGCGGCGTCACCGTTCTCACTTGACTTGCACTCTCCCGGTGCTCTGTAAATAGGTGGCGAATGAGTGGCGAAACGTCCAGTGCCGTGACTACGCTAGTGCGTCGATTGCGCGAGCGTAACTGACGCTCGTTTGCTGTCTACGTCGTAGGATGCAGCTTTCGTGCAGATGCGATGTTTTATGAAAATGTCATCATCTGATTAGGAAGTGTGTGTGATGAAGCAGACTTTCCGCTCTGATGCATCAGCTGCGATGAATGTTGGACATACTGAGATCACCCAGTAACACACAGCCTGCTAGATTTCAGTGCGTAGTTTCGCAATGGAAATGGGAGGGAGCTGAAGAACTCATTGGCGGTGGTGAATGTGCTGTTCCACTCATAACTCTGTGCTGCTCTACAAACCAGCGCTTGACGTGCATTTTTAGCCAAATACAGGCTGTTTTAGGTCAGAGAAGATGCTACTAACCATTGGCAGAAATGTTGCCAGACTTGACATTTGAAATACACCGTGATTAGCATTCTTTTTCAACCTTCCATGGAAACAATCACTTGCTGTAGCTCGATGTACTTTGCACGACACACATAGCTGCACCAACGCACCATCTACGCTACCTAGCACGAATTTGTCTGCATAAGCAACGAACTTACACCCGTCCTTACCAGATCGACTATCTAGGGCGAGCTAAGGGCGGTGGTATCCAAGGTATTAATACATTGAGACCCGCAAAAAACGCAAGGGCGTTACTGCTTTTGACTCCGGGGAAGCCCAGGAGACACTTAGGAGAGGAAAGGGACGGCTGCTAGCTGTGCGGAGGGGAAAGGCTACGCATTCGGGACGCCAAACGCTTGCAAGTATGGGATCGTCGCTGACGCTAGTGGCGCCGGCATGAAAGTTCCACAAGAACATTCTTATTGTCATCGATGATGCCCCTTCCTGCATAGCGTGCGTGAGCGCGAATAGCGTAGCGTTTTTCCTACGCATACATAGGACGAAAGTAACGTCACAACATGCAACTTTTCAATCTGTGTAAATGCAGGACGATGTAAATATTGATAGTTCTAAGGGATTGCAGAATATTGCCAATTTTGCGCGCTGCTTCGACACGAAGTACCGGAACATCAGGCAATGTTGTGCAAGTTCGAAGCTTTTAACCTGATGGTTGATCACTCATGACGTCTTGCTCGAGGTCATATTAGTACCAATACATACATCTGCTCAAAAGTGACAACCAACGCGCATTGCATCACTGAAGAGCATTGCTTTTGTAAACGTCAGACCATCTAAGGTCGAGCTCTGTCAAACTTTGACTTTTGTAACCAGAGTTCACCTTGAGGTCATGTAATTTAAAACTTAATGCCACATACTGTACGATAAGAAGCGTTTCCCTGTTTTTCGCATTGGTGGGCTTGTTTCCTTGATGTTGCAGGACAGGCCAAATCAAACAGTAGCCTTTACCACTTTGAACCGACATCACATATCATTGATCACATCTGTCGATGCCCACTGTTGTCCATCTGATAGAAATGGTCATAACCACCCATTTGATGATCCATTTCCGGGAGCTATACAACGCTGCGTTTCACATTATCGTAACATGCTTAATTTTTTATGTAACAGAAAGGGGTATAAAGTGGTAACTCAACCCCTATCACTCAGTCGACTTGCCAAAGGCCACATTCACCGGGTCAGTCACACCTTTCCGACGAAGGTTGACCGGAGCTTCCTGACGCTGTCTTCCTTGTGGCTCCAACTCGTTTAGTTTTCAAGATCGAAAGTGATATTAAATCCTTTGGGGTCCTCCCGCCTCTTGAGACAACGTTGCCGGAAGTTAAGTCAAAACCTCGCAGGGATGTTGCGGTCCAAGGAACGAACAATCCCAAATGTGATATGTGCATCAAAAGAGTATGCCACAACTTTTGAACCTATCAACTGAAAATGCTAAGTTAGTTAACAATCTGACGGAGTCAGAGGGACGTGATTGGCTGACTGGTGCGTGCTCCCCAAGCAAATATTTGCTGACTGCAAGGGTTCTTCTGCTAAGGTCCGCATAACCATATGCATTAACTTCCTTCATATACCAATGATGAATGATCTTCTGTTTGACGCTTATGTCGGAATATAGGCTTTGCTTTCGTCTAGCAATGTGGGAGACTAAATGCGACTGTACTTTAGACATACACTGACCTCTCCAACCAACAAACCAACCTTGCCTTCCAAGGCCATGTCAGTTGTGAATGCTTCTCGGAGTGTGTTGGGTTGGGGCGCGTGTTGACGGCGGCGTGAGATTAAGGTGGTTGTGAGTTTTGTGCGAGTGTTATTGCTTTTGATTGTGATTGCAATGAAGAAAACTGAGGAAATGAACAATTAGGGATCTTACAACACGGCATATTTAAGTTGATAGGCTGGTGTGAAGGTAGGTATCCTGACGTCAGTGGCTTCCTGCCCAATTGAGAATGATACGCCACGTGTGTAAATGTGATGATCTTAACATATTTAAGTCAGGATTATTCATCCGAATTTCATACAGCAGAGAAATCTGGGTTTGAGGAGGAACTTCAACGATCACCTTAATTTTTGCGCACAGGTGGTGGATCAAGCTTAGTCCTTACATTTGTTATCTTGGATTTGTACATAAATCCAGCGTTGGGGTGATACGTGCATGGAAACACTTGTTGGTACATATCAACAACCTTTTCCCAATAAAACTGATGTGCTGATAAGCTTTTCCCAATAAACCTGATGTGCTGATGGCTGATTGCAGCCTTTTGTCAACTTTTGTTTTTTCTTAGATAAGATTTCATGTCCACCTACCTGAACACCTATGTTAGAAAGGAGTCAGCAACATTGATGTGCACTTGCATTCATTTTTGCTCACATAGCTTGAAATGAATGTGAAGCATGTTTTGAAGGTTTGTGGGAACACCTTACATCAATGAATGGCTTTTAAGCAGGAATCTAGGCAGGGTTTTTTATAGATTGACCTGTGTTGTTTGATTTGAATATACTTCTGTAAGGCAGTGCATGCCATTTATTAAAGATAATAATATCTATCTAATATATGCAGTATGCATATACTAACCCTACCAACAACCATCTGCAGAACTTTTTGATTTGAGAGGCCTGCCTAGCCCCCCTCTCCAACATTGGGTTACCTTCCTCAATCACAGCTTAACCCCTCTGTTATGATACAAATGGGAGGGAGAGACAGATAATATTTCTGTAGCTCAGCGGCATTCCAAATTGTAGTTTCAGCATTTGTCCCCCTAATACCTTTGAAAAGCTTACATCCCTACCAGCAACATCAGCATGATTTTCAAAAATGCCTTGAAAATTTACTGACACAGTAAAACCACCAGAGTTCATGATATAGCAGGTGGTCCAAAATAATATTGTATGACATGGTTTGAGATTTCTACCATGAACTTCCATAATGATATTGATAAGTTATGTGACAAATTGATCTGTCACAAGTGGTAGGCAGTATGACTGTCACAAGTTTTTTACTACCTTATTAAGATCTGGCATTTGAATGGCAGATAACCATCATCATTTGCAAATATTATTCAGGTGTGTGATTAGGGATGTTTGTGTGCATGCTATTGTAGGACTGCTACCATTCTTTTTTATTTCATAGTGCAGTAAAGCTGGTCTCTATATTCATGAAAAGTGCATTAAAATGCCAGCTTTTGGGAACCATTGAACACTGGTACTTTATTGACATCATGCCTCTGCAAGTGAATAAGATCGCCATATAATGATGACATGCAATGCATGCCCAAGTCAGTCAATGTCAATAAGACCAGAATGTTATTTACATCAGGATGAATATATCAATGCATCAATAGTCTATCCTTGCTCATATTAATGCCAAACAGCATGCATGTAAGACCAGTGGTCTTTGCCAGATTGGCTGAAATCTGAATTGCAATTCTTTCTGTCAGAGAAGTTATATCATGAGTAAAAAGCATGTCCATTGCTCCTTAATAACAATAATTTGAATGTGTGAAGTCTGCATGAACAGTCTTCATGGTCAGCCTCTGCAAGATCATATTCTGACCAAGCCCAGTCCTTGCTACCACATCTGACAATGCCCTGTTGCATGGTCTGCTCTTCTCATGCTCGTCCTTGTCTCCACAGCATCTGGAGACAGTGGAGGCAGCATCAGTGGTGCGCACGACTGTATCGACGGCGCGCCCGGCAGGCCGCCCTCCACTGCTCCGCCATGTCCCAGATGGACCTTTTCCTGCCGCTGTTGGCCACCACTGACACCAGGAAGAAGCTCTCTGTCAGCAATGATATTGTCAACTACTTGGAGTTGTCCAACGACATTGATTGTGAAGACATTGGTGCTTTCATTGATGGCGTTATCCCGTGGACGAATCAGAGCAACTTCAGGGTGAGTATGCTGAATCTTCAGCCATGTGCATATGCAGGCATTGTTTATGCATGTCTAAGGTATCCACATGAACTAAATCGATGCCACTACAGCTCCTGCATCCCATGTCACATAGGATTTTCCGGTTTAGTTTTGCCTGAATGGTTGGTTGATCGACCGAGGTTGACCGATCCAGGAGGTTTCTTCGCCTAGGTTGTCGGTGGCGCCGCGCCATGACCTTGTCTGTAACGCGGTCGGCTCTGGTGGACCTCTGGGAACTCGCCGGGATTAGCTGTCCGCTGCCGGCTCTTTTCTGAGAAAGCCTCAGCCCCGGGATTTTCGCTGCGTGAAAACTGGCCGCGTCAAAAACAAAAAGACCATTCATACTGCGTGGGCAGAGGCGCGTCAGTCGCCACCGCACTGGAGACGGCTGTCTGTGCCTGACCCAGTCTGCGGTCACCGCCCGCCCCGCGCTGGCCTCGGCGGCCCGGTGCCGGCGCCGCCAAGGCTGGTGGTGGCTCGCGTGCCGGCGGTGGGCCGAGCCCCCGGTGCCCCGCCCCCTTGCCCCGCCGCAGCCCGGCTGGCCCGCCCTCCTGTCGTCACCGCCGGCGCGCGCCGTGTGCGGAGCGGGCCTCGGCGCGGCCGAGGGACTCAGGTGGCAGCTGCTTTTGGGGAGGCTCGTTCTTGGAAGGGAATACTTCGGGAGACTAGTTGCTGTCTCGAAGGTCATCGATATCATACATGCTTGTTGCTCGCAGCGTGCAGCCATCAGATAGAAGTTTGGGCTTGGCCGTCCGGTCATGGCAAGCACGCGATAATGGTGGGCTATATCTTGTGATTGAAACACGTGACCACCTCAACGGAAGATCATGGATCGTATGCTAAAACAAACATGTGAACAAAACCGTTCGATACAGAGTCATTACCAAACCCCGCTTTCCCTAAAAAAGAACTGAATCGGGTTTTAGTGCGTGGTGCACGGGTGCACCACGCTTCAGCCCTGGTGCAGATCTCACCCGCTGCAGGGTGGGGTGGGCTGGTGCTCGTGCGTGCAGTTTCAGACCGTCTGACCATGTGCCGACCGATCCGGATAGCCGGGCTTGCAGCCGGCTAGCGCTGACACGGTGTGCTGCAGCGCGCGGCCAGCCACATCCACGCCGCGGTGGCTCCCTTCCCCTCCGAGAGAAGGCGTTGGATTGACCTGGTTTGTGTCGATCGGGGGTATTGCTGCATACATGTGCATTTTGCAAGGAGAGCAATTTTTGGATATCCATGAGGTTTCCGCCAGGCGCAAACTCGCGCACTTCGTGCTCAAGGGACATGCCGAACTGTTCGATTCTTGCTCATAGCAACAAATACCGACTACACTGAACATGTGTCGTCATGTTAAGATAGCGTTCACAGGGATCAGCTGTAATATACATCAAGCACAAGTGTGCTGGATTACTCGAGATGTCCAAGAAAGGGTTGAGGAAGGGAGGAGGGGGGGGGGGGGGGGGGGGGGGAGCTACACGGAGGGTAGGCGAGTGGCAGCGCTCTACCGCGCCCGGCGGTGGGGCGGAAGACAAGGGCTTTGCCGTAAAACACTGTCCACTGTGCGAGTGCCTACAGACACAGCCTCGTCAAGCAGCCAAACGGTGCGGAGTGTGTCAGATGCCCCCGGGCCAGTGGAGAGAGGGCTATACTCTCACGGCTGAAAGGCGGGCGTACGGATTAGAGGGACTTGGGAGAAGCGGAGCTGGGGACGCGCTGGAGGTGGAGCTGGGGACGTGCTTGAGGTGGAGCTGTGACTTGTTGGGGCAGAGCTGGGATTACGCTAGAGGTGGAATTGGGTGCGTGGTGAAGGCGGTCACTGACGTGCTGGAGTGGGGGCTGGGGACATGCTGGAGTCAGGACTGCCTTTATTGGATGATTCAGATCAACCTGGTGCGTAGTCAACAAATACGGGTCATTGATCGCAGCTGTTCGCACCGTTACTCTGCTGCCGGGCATCGAACGCACAGCACAGTCGAAATCCCTGGTCTGCCCTCGTCTGTGCTTTTAATTCCCTGCCCTTCCCGGTGTCTTTCCGGGGTTCACTTGAACGCGGTTGGGACGTATTGACGTACGGAACGTTTTTCTAAACATGGCCGTGTTACATTTGTTCGGCATGAGACTGCTACAGGTCCAACACCTGTCGGTTGCCATGGCAGTTCATGCATGCTTACCCAGCCGATGCACACATTTGTACAGTGTCTAGCGGAAAGAACCGCGACTTGTTATTTGGACCATCGTGTAGTCGGAACAAGCATTTATGTATGTTATGGTATATGTGCATTTTGATATAGTTATAGTATTACAGTACAATCTTTTTGTATTCATATCGTGATTATTGATTGCACCGAAGTTTATCATAATCATGGTTAACAGAGCCTCTCCCGCAACATCCAGACCGCTCTTTGCATATGACCGCATGTTTTATGGTTGGGTTTGGCCCAGGCCGTTGGACAGCATTGCATGCATCATTAAATCCCGATATGGCGTCGTGCATGCCTGTCGTCCCGTTCTGCTGTGCCGGCCGCTTAAGGCAAGAGTACGGCCAGCACAGCTCATGACATTTCCCAGGTGAATATCCCGTACGACTGCAGCCGCCATACGCATTGGCCTGTGCTCGGATGATTGACCTCTGACGTGTAGCGTCGGTACTGAATTCACTGATCCCACTGGGTGGACCCAGTGTCTGCATACAAAACCGGGTGCAACGATACTGTCGTTCATTTTCCAAGCCTGCAACAGTGCCTACGTTTCAAAGACGCTGGCTGACGGCGACGATGACGTGTCGCAAGGCTCCAGCATACGCTGGTGACGGCTGAGTACTTTTCAAGGCTCTCGAAATCTTATCAGGAGCCACAGTTGTCGGCGGCGCTTTCGCGGGCCTAAATAATTCAGATGGGATAATGCCCAACGCCCACGCAGGGTCGGTTCTCGTCTGATCCTGTGGCCCATGGACGTTGTCACGACGACTGTACCGGCGAACCAGCGCTCCATAACAGGGTTGCTCTGTGATGTGCTCCGCGTGCATAAAAAGCCTATTCGTCGGTACGGTTGCCGCCGCACCCTCAGCGTTGCCCCGCACTGCCAAGCCGGAGGCCCACTTCGCACCCCACACCCGCCGGTCCCGTCGGCGGCCAGCTTCCGGACCCTGTGCAGGGGCCGTGACGGTCGGCGGGGATGCGAGCGCGCCGCACCGGCTGGCCCCGGCTCCCAGCGGTGACGTCATTGCCAGGCAGCGCCTTCTCCTCCCCGATGTTCGCTGTCGTGGGCCACGTCCAGTCGAGAGCCAATGCTGACAGGCATGGGAGGGGACGTGACTTGACCATGCCCGCAGCCCTCGCCGGCGCCGCCTCCGCGGTCGTCCCAGTCACCGGGGTGCAACTGCGGGTGCCAGCGCTGTCGGCTGCGTCAGACGGGTGCCGCGGGCCGGTTACGGTCGTCCGCTGTCGGCGGCGCTCTCCGCGCGTCCGCCCGGAGCCGGCGCCGCCACGCCACGCCCACAGGCCGCCGAGCGGCACGTGACGTCACGCGGGCGCGACCCGGCGGCTGATGAGGTCATCACGCCTCGAATGGACATGCAGAGAGCGGCGCGGCGCCGGCCGAACCCGTTGTCGGGGGAGGGAGCGGTCTGTTTCCCCGATCCACCCGGGTCGGCTGGCCGAGCGCTCGAGCGTCTTGGACGGCGATGTGAACTTGCGTGGTGCGGTGGCACTGTGTGCTGGACGGTTGGGTGGCCTCGCGTTTTTCTCCTCCTAAAACTGGGCAGTGGGACGTCTTTATCGTGTAGCGGTTTTGTCTCTGCCGCAGAAGGCGACCAAACATGGGTGGAGCGCGGAGCCCGATCGTCTAATCGGAGTCGGTTGCTCCCTGTTTGGTGCTGTCCGTGGCCGGCAGGCCAGCCGCGGGCGCCGGCCGCCCGACGCGTGGCGCCGAGCGCCGTCGCCCGGCGTTGTTTGGCGGCGGCGGCGGCGGCGGCCTCTCCGGCCCACATCTCTGCCGTCAATTGGAGCCTGTCCGCCCACGGCGCGGGCGGATGACGGGCGTGGGTGGCCGCCGATGTCGGGCGCACGGCGCCCTGGATCGCCGACATCGCCCGGCGCAGACGGGTCCGCGGACGTCCGTCGGCACGACTAGGGTGGATGGGGCGGCGCTGAAGGGACCACGACGTGGCTTCGCACCGGCTGTTGCTTGTGTAAGTCGTTTGCCATCGTAGCTTGGGACGCTAGCCATACTTTTAAGGTAGACCGTTCCGTGTGCCATAGGGCCATGTAGTTTCAGCGCTCGAAAGCTGAGATAATCGATCAGTCAAGCCTGTCAGTGCGTGTGCATGCGTTGGTCGGTGCACCGGACTCGGATCAAACCCGGGCCTCAAGCTCGGGTTGTGCTCCGTGACCTCTGCTGGCTCGGCTGCGCTCCTGCGGGGCCCAGATCGGGCGGTGAACACGGCCGCCCTTGTCTGGGCGCGTGCGTTGGTCGGTACCCAGCAGGCAGACATCCGGGCGGACGCGCGTCTGGCCGCCGCCACCACCGCCGCCACCACCCGGGTCGGTCCGCTTTCTCCCGGCGCGGCCTGGCCTGGCGCGCCGAAACGCAGCGGCGTCGGCGCTGGCGCTGTTTCCGATCGGTTGGGGCGGTAGATAGGGGAGCGGGTGTGATAAGGAGTCGGGCGTGTGTGTATGTGGGGGGGGGGGGGGGGGGGGGGTGAGACTGTACTGAGCCTCGCTGCGTGGCTGTACAGAGCCGCGGCTCGCCGGCCGCTCTCCACCGTACGCCTGGTGCGCTGGCTGTACTGCGGTTAGCCCCAAACCGGTCCAGCAACTCGAGGATTTTCGTCTAATCGTATGACAGCGCACTGGTTCTCCTGCTGCCTTTCAACGTAGGCCAACCTATCTAAAACGTGTGCCTAAACTCGCCTTAAATCCATGGAACTGGGAGGTATAAAGACGAGATGAAAGGTACCTTTCCGTCGTCTTCAGACAGCTACCTGC